GGAAATAAATATCTGGTTGATCAGTCTGGATTAAAATAATGAGTTTCCCTTGGCCGTTACAAATACAAGGCAATCTACTTTACAGATTATTGGTCTTTTTTATTTTAGACGTCACAGTTTTAATACTGTCCGTTGTGTGACGATGAGTCGTGTGCGCCTGTAGTATATTTGCTCCCATTTCCATGCTTTTTTTCAATGTCAGGATTAAGATGCGTTTTAGCCCTTTCCATGATTCGTCGTGCTGATCTGGTGCTGATGGAAAAGATCGCGTAAAGCTGTTTACATTGGAGGGACATCTTGGTTCATTCGGTCGGAATACCCCTGACACACGTGGCCATCTGATGTCGCAGTGGATACCCTTTTTTGACATGGCGACCTGAAACACCCGGCCCGTTAAATGTGATGCTTTTATTAAATAGACCTGGTCGTTGGCTATCATAACCCGTCTTTCAAATTAACGGGCGTCATTTAGTTCAGTTCATATAATAGCCTTTTCTCCGTGTATATGGAAATGGCGGGAAGTTTAAAATCTGAAGTCTTGCTCTAAAATAGCCCGCTCTGACTAATTTATTAAATCCGGCCCGTTGAATTTGACATGTTTAGTATGTAGTCTTGGTCGTTGGCTATCGTAATCCGTCTTTAAAGTTAACGGGCCGCGTTTAATTCGGCGCAGACGATGAACTTTTCTCTGTATGTATGCAAATGCGGCGGGAGATTTGAAATTGTGCCTTCTCTAACTCATTAACTGCCGTCGTGCCTCGTTAATTAAATCCGGCCCGTTGAATTTGACACAATTAGTTGATAGTCTAGCCATATGGCTATCAGTATCAATTTTTGAATTTAACGGGCCACGTTTAGTTTGACAGCATATTGATTTTTAACCCTCCCAGCAGCCGATTCAGATGGCCCATTTGATCGCCATGTTCCAAACGCCTTGTACCTGCCCCCCACCCTCCCATACGTATCGCTGTTGCGCGTTAATTAAATCCGGCCCGTTAAATTTGATGCTTTTATTAAATAGACTTGGTCGTTGGCTATCATAACCCGTCTTTCAAATTAACGGGCGTCATTTAGTTCAGTTCATATAATAGCCTTTTCTCTGTGTATATGGTAATGGCGGGAAGTTTAAAATCTGACATCTTGCTCTAAAATAGCCCGCTCTGACTAATTCATTAAATCCGGCCCGTTGAATTTGACATGTTTAGTACGTAGTCTTGGTCGTTGGCTATCGTAATCCGTCTTTAAAGTTAACGGGCCGCGTTTAATTCGGCACAGACGATGAACTTTTCTCTGTATGTATGCAAATGTGGCGGGAGATTTGAAATTCTGCCTTCTCTAACTCATTAACTGCCGTCGTGCCTCGTTAATTGAATCCGGCCCGTTGAATTCGACACGTTTAGTAGATAGTCTAGCCATATGGCTATCAGTATCAATCTTTGAATTTAACGGGCCACGTTTAGTTAGACGGCAGATTGATTTTTAACCCTCCCAGCAGCCGATTCAGATGGCCCATTTGATCGCCATGTTCCACACGCCTTGTACCCCCCCCCCCCTCCCATAAGTATCGCTGTTGCGCGTTAATCGAATCCGGCCCGTTAAATGTGATACTTTCATTACATAGACTTGGTCGTTGGCTATCATAATCCGTCTTTCAAGTTAACGGGCGACGTTTAGTTCGAATGGCAGGAAGACTTTCCTTATGCTGGCAATCCGTATAGCAGCCCATTTTCTTACCCCATTTTACTCAATTAGTTCAGCCGTGGCTCCTTTATCAAACGTGGCCCGTCCAATATAATAGTGTTAGCTGATACCCTGTGTCTAAAGCTATCATTATCAGTTTTTCAAGTTCACGGGCCACGTTTGGTTCAATTACAGAACGTCTTTTAGATTTCAAACTAGTAAACACGCCCTGCATGCTCTCTCCGGTAGGTGTCGCTCTTATAGCTTATTTTCAAAATTGTTTGTTTTTGTTGTCTTTAAGCTTCAGCAAAAGCCCCTAATCGACAGATAACTGAATGTATATATAGTTTGTATACATCCACGTCGCAAAATCCGTTCAAATGTACCAAATAAAAAAAAAGAGAAACGAATGTATAAACACGAATAGGATGCTAGCTTTCCTATAAGCTTGAATCGGCTGCTCGAATGGGCTGCTCGAATGGGCTGCCGAAAGGGCTGCTAACTTCCAGTTGGTACAATATGCTGGCTGCGCTGCTCCTGAACTGCAGTAATTTGTTATCGCCGTTGTGGGGCGCTTTTGATCCATGGAGGTTTCAACCAATATGTTGGTTTAAAGTGCTTCTATAGCTGTTTTATCGCCGTTATTGCGCTCTTTTGATGGCAGTATAAAGCAATATGCTGGCTGTGCTGCTCCTGGAACTGCAGTAATTTGTTTTCGCCGCCTAGGGTCGCTTCTGATCCATGGTGGTATCAACTAATATGTTGGCTAAAGTACTTCTAAAGTACTTTTATCGCCGTTATTGCTCGCTTTTGATGGTGGTTTTAAGCAATATGCTGGCTGTGCTGCCCTTAGAGCTGCAGTGATTTTTATCGCCGTCTTGGGGCGCTTTTGATCCATGGCGATTTTAACGTGTCAGAATTAAAGCGGGTGGACGATAGTGAATTGTTTATTCTTTACATATCATGGATCAAAAGATAATTCTATTGCACTAACTTAAGGAAAGATGACAATGAAAGATTGTAGCCTTCGAAAAGTAAAAAACATATCCAAAATCCAAGCGGCGTATTTATCAATTAATCCAAAGTTTCTGTAACATTCGATGCTTGCATTTTCTATATTATAAGGACCGATTTTTCTTTTACATTTTTTTTCTTCTATAACTTCACTTGAGGATGAATGCTTTGCCTTTTTATGAACCTTTAAACCTTGTCCTGCTGGCATTTTTTACACAACATTTTCAAATAATTTAATGTCTTAATCAGGTCATAGCATGGGATCAAACACATAAACCCCTGACTTTTTCTGCCCTGCGGTGGCGTAGTTACCTCCGCATTTGTTGCGTTTTGCTGCGGTGTGATGCGTACTCTCCAAGCAGAGGTTTGGGTTTGGGGTTATTTTTGGCGTGTTTTAGGCTTTTTTATCGGGGTTTCTCTTTTGCACTGGACTTATTTTTAGGTTGGATGAAAAAAAATTCCAGTGCAAAAGAGAAACCCCGATAAAAAGGCCTAAAAACACGCCAAAAATAACCCCAAACCTCTGCATGGAGAGTATATACATGGTGCTATATTGATGGTACTGCATGTGCAGCCCATCTATATATTGGCTTCGCTTGACTTAATACAAAGGTATTTTGTGTTCTGGGTGGATACAAATATTTCAACGTCGGTAGCATATTAACAATGACAACTAGAGGTCGGAGATCTCATGTCTTCGTCAGAGGTACATCGTTCTAGAGAAATTAACATGCGTATTCTTCACTCTTTTTAATAATCAATTTGGTCTAAAGAACAAAAGAATCTCTGTACTATTTTTATAATACAGAGCACCCTGAAACGGTTTGCCGCAGATTATACAGATGCGTCGTCACCCGTGTTAGCCCTCCCCCCCCCTCCCCTACGTTATTTGAGTTTGGACTGTTACTGGAAAAAAACGTTCAAGAAATTCTTACTGTGTTGAAAGTGTCACGACAGTGCCGCAAAATATAATAAGAGAAGATGTTATAAAGGAAAGAATCAGAACAGGGTGACTACTGCTGTTTTGTTAATTTGTCTTTATGACGAATAGAAGACTTGTTTCTTGTGTTCTTTGTGTCCTAACATTTGTACTTCTACAGTTAGTATATTCCAAATCTAGGCATCTCGTTTTTCGGCCCTTCGTGTTTTTATTGCGCGCTTGCCTTAAATTTAAGGTAATTAGATTTAAGGTCTCCAGTGGACGTCATCCATAGCAATTACTTGGTGTGGCCGTAGAAAATAACCTGACATATATCCAACCTATCTTCCCCCTGCTGAAGTTATAGTACAATCCCTCAATGTAACGTCATTTGATCCCATCCCATTATGGGTTCCCCCGGCTATATCCAGCTGTCGGCTGTCTCCAAGCAGATGTAGGTGGGGGGTTTCTAAACACAAAAGGTCCTATTACGGGGACATAACGATCTCCACGACTCTCATCTTTGAACTCAATCTTGGAGACCACGACAGTTAGATGCCTATCAAATTTCATTAACTTCCATACAAACATACAAAAGTTATCCTGCTCACAAGAAAAATTAACAAAATGCCCCCTGTAGTCACAACGAAACCCCCCACGAAGCTCAGTAACGAACTTAACCTTGGTCCCAATAATAGTAAGCACCACACCAAGAATTATAATCAACATTTTACAAATACTTGAGTTATCTTGCTAACAAGCCACAAACACAAAAGGTGCACTAACGTGACGCACGGACCCCCCACGAAGCCGAAACTTGTACTTGACGTTGGCCTCAACAGCGGTAATCTGCCTGCCAAAAATCATGGACGTCGAATCATGCCTTCCACACTCCGGCGAGACAATTTCATAGTCCTTCTGACGAAGACAATGACAATGAACTTATTGCATATTCACGCCCTACACGGGCCAAATGCTCTTGAGTTGAATAACTTGGGTACAAGAATAGAAGAAGCAATTGTTACATTCGTGTGCTACGTCTCTATCTACAGGATCTAACTACAGGATGATAACAGAATAAAACACATTGCATGAAAGGAAGACTTCCGGATTAATAACTTTCTAATCAAAAGAGGATAATCCCTCGGAAATCTGCAACAGGCGGATTTTAATCTGCACAAGCTGTTCATATTTTCACCACATCTGAGCCAATGGTGGCAGGGAAACATGTTCTTTAGTTTCTGGATTAATCTTACTGATCTTCTTAGATGGACAACATACTCTCTTGGACAAGCTGTTGTGCTGTATAATATCCCTGGCGCTTCGTGTGAGTGGTAAGGGACTCTAGTGCGATATTCCTGTAGTTTTTCAACGGGAGGGACGTATAGAAAGATGAAGACAACATTTTTGGTTGTCCTAACTTCTGCGGTTGTGCTGCAGACGACACTTGCAGTCCCAGGAAAATCAAGAGGTAAAACACATCTGAATCAGTTTTGTTTTGTTATATTTGTTTTGTTATATGTAGTTTTTATTACGTTAGTTACATGATTAATATTTCCTAAGTTTCAAGGAGGAGGACGTTGTACAAGCCTTGTAGGCTTTTTTCCTCCTCCTGCACACTGTTTTTCCTTTGTTTTGTATATTTGGTGATTGGTGTTCGTCATTTTATTTGTCCAAATGAATAAATAAATGAATGAAATGGGAAAATTAAAATATCATTATTTCTTAAGGGTGTTCAATTTACATTGGGACAATGTGTTAGAAGTAAATTTCACGCCTTTTCTTCACCATCCTTCTTGTGCATAGCCTTGTGTTTTTCATAGGCAGCTTTCCGTTTTAATTTGTAAGGCCACACCGACTTAATTTTATGGATGACATACGCGCGCGCATTGATTTTCGCCTGTCCTAAAAAAAGATCACGTCCTCCGAGGTTCTGGCCTGGCTCTAGGCCTGGGTAGCCCATGGTAGTTAGCGACAATGCAGAGCCGGTGGTAACTATGGAGGGTGGCACACAGGCTACCGAAGCTCCACGACTCAAGAACTCAGTACATACGTACAGTGCCGATTCATAAACCCCGCTTGTCGCATACGTCGCCATGTACTGACGCAATACCAGCTATGTATTTCTGTGGTTTAGTAGCATTTTTATTGTCGGCCGGATTTTTTTATTCGCCCGCGCGTACTAGTTTGGGGGTCTTCAAAGGATGTCATCCATAAACTTAAGATGGTGTTGCCTAATGGTACATTTTACTACATTAGCTGCGGCTGCCCCCCGATGTTCGTACGACCTGTGTATGCTGTCGTGCATGGGCGGCTACAAAAAGGACGAGAACGGGTGTTACATTTGTGTCTGCAAAGAAGGTGCGTAATGCTTAGGTCACATTTCCAAACCGGGGCCCGGCCGGGCAGTCTTATAGAACGAAAAGTACGATATAAAAGACAACAAAACACAGAATTTTTTATAGTAATCATGGGCACTATTTCTGTATATTCTTGATATGAATTGCTAATTTTTCGTTCATACAAACAGCCCGACCGGGTCCCGATTTGGAAATGTGACCTAGGCATAAGGAATCCTAGCAAAGTTCCATTTTACCTCCCACCATCTGCTTGGTTTTCATTCATATGGTAAATAATGTATTCGACAGCGAAAAGTCCACTTCTGCAAGGACTATGTCATGTACCACTACTTTACTTCTGCAAAATCGGAAGATCACATTTTGAAGTATAACTCGAGAATGAAGCATATTTGATGGAAAGAAATAAGTAAGAATAGAATAGAGGCCGTATAATGGAGTATAATCTATAGACAGGATGCGCAAGGAATCGTTTAAACTGACAACCACAGGCGACCCTGCCATCATTGTATTTAAGACTAAAACAGAATTAAAAGTTCTGGCTGTTGGCATTAAAATGTCGAGGACTTAGAAGAAAAAAAAGACATAACTTTATAACAATACTGAGGCCCATACCCTTCACTTCTAATTTCTAGAAGAATTCCAACAGCTAGAGGACTGCAGAGAATATGTAGTCGCGCTTTTTAGTTAGCCTCCACCAGACCTTTCTACGGGAATACGGATCGTAGTATTCGGCAAAAAAAGAGAGCAAAATTGGCCAAGGGAGTCCGGCCGCGGGGAGGTAGTTTCTTTCCTAATTGCGCGGCCAGTCAAACCTACAAGGCGGCCAAACTCCCCTGGCAAATATTCTCCTATATATAGCCAGCGTAGTTCGTCTGGTAGAGACTACTTTTTAGTCCTAGAACCACTGCATGTAAGATAATTTGATTTGACAGATAATTTGGTCATCCCAAATCTCTAGCTTCTACTTTCCTGAAGAAGAAAAAATCATACACAGCGAAAAAAACAATGCCTCAATTTTTGTAAACTGAAAAAAAATCGTGTATTTTTTCTTAAAGTTGACGGGAACTGGAGCCCGTGGACGGCCTGGGGCGAGTGTACGAAGACGTGCGGCGGGGGGCAGCAGGCGCGCTCCCGGGAGTGTACGGACCCTGCCCCGGCACACGGAGGGAAGGACTGCGACGGAGGAACACACGAGACACAGGCCTGCAACCTGAAACCGTGTCCTGGTGGGGTGATAGGAGATTATATCTGAAACTGTCGCACTCACTCGCTCAGTCACTCGCTTACTCACTCACTCACACAGTCACTCACTAACACACACACTCACTTACTCACTCACACACTCACTGACACGCGCTCATCTGAAACTATCACTCACTCGCTCACTCACTCAGGCACGCACACACTCATTCATTCGCTCACTCACTCATTCACTCACACACACTCACTCATTTACTCACACACACACGCACGCACACACTCATCTGAAACTATCACTCGCTCACTCACTCAGGCACGCACGCACTCATTCATTCGCTCACTCACTCATTCACCCACACACACTCACTCACTCACTCATTTACTCACATTCACTCACGCACGCACACACTCATCTGAAACTATCACTCACTCGCTCACTCACTCAGGCACGCACGCACTCATTCATTCACTCTCTCTCACTCCCAGTCACTCACTAACTCATTCTCTCACACTCACTGACAGTACTAGTACTTGTCTTTTAGCCAATTTTTAGAATTGTGTATTGCATGTAGAGACAGAGTACGTATACTTCTTAAAATCCTCTTCCTAAATACTTGCTTTACAATGGCTTTTAAAAGTAGAAACATACTTGTACATAACTGAAATATCATAAGCATGAATTGAAAACAAATATATTGAACTTTTTTTAATGCCAGATGACTTCCAGTGGTCGAAGTGGTCGTCCTGGGGGGACTGTACCAAGTCGTGCGGCGGGGGTGAGCAGCGGCGGGGCCGGAAGTGCCAGGGCTGGGCGGACGGGGCGGCGGGGTGTGAGGGCAGCTCCGAGGAGACACGGACCTGTAACGACAACGACTGTCCCAGTAAGTTCAACTTAGATCCCTAAATAAACTTAGTCGAAGTTTCAATCATTGCTTTGGAATACTTTGTTAAGCACATAACAGCCTTCCACGTACATGTATAGTTAACCAAACCTGTCCTTGGTACTGAACGCCTTCCACATATAGTAAAACAATCCTGTCCTTGGTGCTGAACTCCTTCCATATGTAGTGAAACAAACCTGTGCTTGGTACTGAACGCCTTCCACAAACAGTAGAACGGACCTGTCCTTGGTGCTGAACGCCTTCCACACATAGTAAAACCAACCTGTTCCTGGTGCTGAACACTTTTCTACAAATGTTTTCAGCCCGACCTGACCTGTGGACTTTTGTTAAGAAAATGTTTGGAATTAAAAAAAAAACACTGTTGTGGCCCACTTACTTTTGACTTGTATTCAGTAATAGGCGTAATTTGATCTCTATATATTTTATCACGTTATATTCATTCTATTAGTTACATATAAAAACTTCAACTTCCCTATTTTCAAGAAGAGGGCTGCAGACAGTACCTTCTTGTTGTAATGATGAGAGAATCTACGCTGAACAATTGCATATGCATAATAGGGCAACGGGACCTCTCCTTGGTGCTGAAACAACGATCAATAGTTATAGTATCGTGCCGGAGATATTTACATTTCCAGTCACGCTGATTATGTAAAAGTTGATATTCTATTATGATCATTATGAAATAAAAACTCAACTTTCTCTGACAACACTGGAATGAAATGGGACATACCACAAATTTTCGACTGACTCCTTCAACCTTGTTCACGGAACGGACCCGTCTACTCTTGGAACGTGACGTCAGAGACACGTGACCGTAGTAGCGGGTCATACGTGCCAGATAACTTGTGTCGCCCCCCGTCTCTGTTCAGGGTAGGTCTGTGAGCTTTGATGTAGACCGCTAGCCTCTACCAGGCTTCGGGAGGCGGCTGGAAAAAGTAGAAATCGGGCAAATAGACAGATAGCATGCCAGGAGAGTTTGTCTGCTGGGAGAGAACATTTTGCCGCCTCTACCAGGCTTCGGGAGGGTAATTTAGCTACTTGGCACCTATTAGATAGTGATTAGTGGACTTCAAAGAAATGGCGACCACAGGCTTCGGGTGCGGCAAACTGTTCTCTCCCAGCAGACAAACTCCTCTGGCATGTTATCTGTCTATTTGCCCGATTTCTACTCTTTCCAGCGGATTCCCGAAGCCTGGTAGAGGTTAGTAGACCGCCTCCTTCACCCCTCTTGCAGTTATGATCATCTTCCGTTTATCTTGCAGAGGATGGTGTATGGGGTCCGTGGTCTGACTGGGGGGCATGTTCAGTGACGTGTGGCACAGGTGTGGAGAGGCGGGACCGTGGATGTGTGGGACCGGCTAACGGCGGGAAGGACTGTCATGGAGACAGGGAGGAGACCAGACGATGTACCAAGAAACCGTGTCCCGGTAAATATCTTTTTACAGTGACAGTTTCTTTCCCCATACGGCCAAGCTGACAAGTGTTTCCCACTAACCTACAATCTACAGGCTTTCAAATCAAACGTTCACCGCCATCTCTTGACATAGCCATGTTTCTCTCATCTTTCTAGTTCAATGTCGACAAGTGGTCGTATAGGCCTTGTAGTGAACCACTCCGTTAAAAAAACTGTGACTTTCATCCCAAAATAATTTCATCGGGTTGGTACAACATAGGATTCTTTTTTTATTGTTCACGCAGTATACAACACAAAGTAATAGGACACTCAAGTATCTAAGACTTATTTCAACTCTACCATTTACACATTATATATTAGTAAATAGAAACCAATACGTAGAAAGTACAGATGATAATACATATATATATATATATGTGACACTAAGTAATGGAAAAACCAAAGATTTTGGAAGCACATGACTAATTTTCCACCCAATGACGTACGGAGTGAAAAGAAGCAGTGGATCATAGTTTGCAGAAAGTCTGTGTCTGTGGCGCCCCCGCCTCTGTTGAGGGATGGTTGTAATGCACTAATATAGATGGCCTCTTTACTCCCTCGTGCAAAACGTCCGATTCTGTGTCCAAGATTCTTACCTTGTCCAATGAGACTGAATGTCCTGATGTTGTTGTTCGGCAGTTGACGGTGTATGGGAGGAATGGGGTGAGTGGGAACAGTGTACGGAGACTTGCGGCAGCGGGGTGCAGTCCCGTCTCCGGAACTGCCGCGGACCGACCCACGGAGGGAGGGAGTGCAAAGGAGAGAACATCCAACTGCAACCGTGCAGCAACGGACCATGCCCAGGTGTGGTATTATCTAACTGTACAAAAAGGGAACAATGTTTGAAATTTCAATATTAAGTTCCTGATGGCCCCACTACGTTCATGATGTTGAATCAGGACTTCTTATGCCACACCAATTTAATTGGTTGTTTCTCGGATTTTTCAGAAAAAATTAGGAGCGACAGGGCGAAAATAAACAGGCCAAGGCACCCCATGATAGCCGGAAATCTTACAATATGAGCCATGAAGTGAACATACCAGGCTGGTTTATAATTAAAACAATAGATTTTGAACTTTTAATGAAACAAAATTGCATTGTTACGTTGAAAAACTTAAGAACTAGGAAGAAGAGGACTTTTTTCAACCATTGGGGCCAAAATATGTCTTTCGTTGAGAATTTTGCAGTTCATTTAGAACCCAAAAAAAATCTTTTGCGAATCAGAGAAAAAATGGACAGGGCGATCCGAGAAGCAACAAATTAAATTGGTGTGGCCTTATCTAAAACGTTTACGTATGGTGGAGAAAGACCAGCAACTCTCCTCTAAAAAGTAATATTTGTATGCCCAGAAATGCCCGATCTTCAATCGCCAAGCCAATGCATTTGAGACTAAAAACCTATATTATTCCTTTGCTTTGCAACGTGGGGCCTCTATTACTAGAGTAATATATAGAACGTAGTTTGCCCTCCAGACGTTCCAAAATATTAGCAATTGTATAATAGACACCTCCTAGGCATAATGAATTCACTGGAAAACGAAGGCTTTTCTCCCTATCATGTGTCTTTGTTTTACAGTCGACGGAAGCTGGAAAGAGTGGTCTGACTGGACGGAGTGCTCGGCCACGTGCGGCGGGGGCAGGCAGCAGCGCGCCCGAGAGTGCGAGCCTCCCCTGCACGGTGGAGCGGCCTGCAAGGGCAACCGGCTGGACACTGAGTCGTGCAACACACACGACTGTCCATCGAAGCTGAAAAAAGGTTTTTGATAGCTTCTGGCCGATGAAATTGTACATATGCATTTGTTCACGGACTTCAGACTTTTCCCCTGTAGTAGAGAGGACCTGTCCTTGGTACTGAATGCATTTCAAATATGGTAGAACCTAACTTTCCCTGGTGCTGAACAACTTCCACATATATTAGAAGTCTTAGTCTTTCTTGGTACTGAACGCGTTCCGCATACAGTAGAACAAACCTGTCCTTGGTACTGAACGCCTTCCACATGTAGTAGAACGGACCTGTCCTTGGTACTGAATACCTTCCACATAAGGTACAACAAACCTGTCCCTGGTGCTGAACGCCTTCCACATTTAATAGAACGGACCTGTCCTTGGTACTGAACGCCTTCCGTATATAGTAGAGCGGACCTGTCCTTAGTACTGAACGCCTTCCACATATAGTAAAACGGACCTGTCCTTGGTACTGAACGCCTATCACATTGAGTAGAACGGACCTGTCCTTGGTGCTGAATGCCTTCCACATAGAGTAGAACGGACCTGTCCTTGGTACTGAACGCCTTCCATATATAGTGGAACGGACCTGTCCTTCGTACTGAACACCTTCCGTACATAGTAGAAGGCATTCTTAGTACTGAACGCCTTCCACTTAAGGTACAACAAACCTGTTCTTGGTACTGAACGCCTTCCCAAAATAGTAGAACGTACCTGTCCTTGGCGCTGAACGCCTTCCACATATAGTAGAACGGACCTATCCTTGGTACTGAACACTTTCCACATATAGTAGAACGGACCTGTCCTTGGTAATGAACGCCTTCCGCATTTAATAGAACGGACCTGTCCTTAGTACTGAACGCCTTCCACATAGAGTAGAACGGACCTGTCCTTTGTACTGAACACCTTCCACATATACCAGAACACGCCTGTCCTTGGTACTGCACGCCTTCCATATATAGTATAACGGACCCGTCCTTGGTACTGAACGCCTTCCATATATTTTCATATCATAGAACATACCCGTCCCTGGTACTGAACGCTTTCCACATATAGTAGAACGGACATGTCCTTGGTACTGAACGCCTTCCACAGGTAGTGAAACAAACCTGTCCTTGGTACTGAACGCCGTCCATATAACGTTACAGTAGAACAGATCTGTCCTTGATGCTGAAAGTCTTCCATACATAGTAGAACGGACCTGTCCTTTGTGCTGAACACCTTCCACATGCAGTATAACCAACCTATTCCTGTTGCTGAACACTTCCTACAATTGTTTTCAGCCCGCCGTGACCTGTGGACCCGTAGCCTGACCGGGTGTCAGTGTTACTGGGACAACCGGCGGCGGGACTGTGCCTGCTGTGAGGACGGAGGGTGTCAGTGCACCCAGGACAACCCGCACCAGTGTGTCCGCTGTGGCTACGGTGCCGACTGTGGCAGACGTACGTTTTTTTGTGTGTTTATTAGGTCACACCGACTTAATTTTATGGATGACATCCTCTGAAGACCCTGAAACTAGTGCGCGCCGGCGAATAAAAAAAATTCCGGCCCAAAAGAAAAATGCTACTAAATCACAGGAATACAAAGCTGGTATTGTGAATTTCCACCAGTACATATATAGCGACGTACATGACAAGCCGGCACATGCTGGCTTTTTGTGGAAGTTATGAATTTGCACTGTACGTATGTACTGAGTTCTTGAGTCATGGAGCATTGGTGCCATCGGTGCCATCCTCCAGGGTTATCACCGGCTCCGTATTGTCGCTAACTACCATGGGGTACCCAGGCCTAGAGCCAGGCTAGACGTGATGTTTTTCAATGCGCGCGTGGATACCATAAAATTAAGGCGGTGTGGCCTTACCGAAGGAAATATTGTTTTTGCTCTGTTTCCTCTTCTTCTCCAAACCAATAAGGTCAATGACCTGAACAAGACGTCTGTCACCATGGTAACTAGTGTTGGGTTGGTTACATCATGTTGCAATTTTATAGCAGGAGGGATTTAGACTCCTGTCTGACCAAATACATGAATGTGCTTGAGTATTAATAGAGCAGACCATATGCGAAGGTAAACACTATGAATTTGCTTTGCAAATGTTACCTTTCTAGTGTTAGTTTCTTCTTTTTTTCCGCTAGACTATTTCATTTCAGAAGAAGGGGAAGGGCTCGGTGGTTTTCACAGAAACGGTTATAGCTAGAGAAGTTGACGTTAACGATATTTGGTATGTGGGTAAATGTCGGCAAAATGAAGGATAAGTTCGATTATAGGCCGCCCTCTTACAGCTTTCTGTTGTACTGCAGCAGATGTGTTGTACGGTTGTTTTTGTTGGTTTTTATATCGCGTATTGTGGACATCTTATTGGAGCTTTTGGTGTCGAAAGAAATGGGTTGGGTTGGGCGTTACCTGCAACTTTCTTGTAGTCTTTTTTGTCTGCGACTTTGGAAAAGAAGTACTGAAGAAGGGGTTGATGGAATTTCGTTTTCACTGAAAATGTTTTCTGTGTCACAGATATGTACGCACCGGAGGATGGTGTGGACGGATGGACCAAGACAAGGACGGGCTGCGCATGCCCAGGAGGGGAGGGTCGCCAGTGCGCATGCTGCCAGAACGGCGGTTGCCCTTGCGGGGTAGAACGGCAGAAGAACCAGTGTGTGCTGTGCGGGAGCGAAGACAAACACTGCGGCAACAAACCCCACATCTTTGGTTAAACCTAAACACCTACTAATCTACAAGCAGATGTATGGCTTGCAATTGGCTAAGTGTTTAAAGCCGCATTTTGATCCTTTCTAGTGGAAGTGAAGAGAGGAAAACGCAAATCACGTTGAAATCGGCGTTTAAAAAGCGTCAGGCCACGCCAATTTAATTTGCTAGTTCTCGGATTTTTTTTCAGGAAAAGTATGAAGTGACAGGGCGAACAAAAATTTTAACAGGTCTAGGCATCCTATTATGAGCATTTTTGAGTTGATTCGGAACCAGAATCTTTTTTTTTGCAAATCAGAAAAAAATTAAGAGGCAAATCCGAGAACCAACAAATTAAATTGATGTAGCCTCAAAAACACGCGAAAAACAACGATTCAAACAAGCGTACATCTGCTTGGAGATTGAACCAAGTGCAAGGATACACGCTTCACGTATGGTTACTTATTTATTGAATGTTATAAGAATAAATGAACAAGAGGAGGTTGTTCAACGCTAACATAACGTTAACGTTATTAGATACTTAGATCATGACATCTTTGCTGTTGTGAGATAGCTCTTTCGTCTGCCGCCGTTCTAAGCATACAATGTCCGCCATAGTAATATTACGGACTCCTCATACTCTTGTCGCATGGAGGTGAACATATGTGTTTCACTCTAATAAAAGTCCCATGCTGTTGAAAATGAGTACTTGTGGGTTTAATTGCATTTGTTTTAGTTCACTCACTCACTCACTCACTCACTCACTCACTCACTCACTCACTCACTCACTCACTCACTCACTCACTCACTCACTCACTCACCCACCCACCCACACTCACACTCACTCACTCACTCACTCACTCACTCACTCACACACATAGCGTTAGGCCATGTCGATTTGATTATATATGGATGACATCCACGCGCGCATGAATTTTCGTCCGTTTCCAAAAAAAGTTTTCGACCATACTGTACATCGTACAAAGTAGCTGCAAAATGAGCAAATATATGCCGTAACTTGGAAAAAAATATTCGAAACGATACTTATTTCGCAGAATGCCAAAATCCATTCCAAAGGACAAGAAGAAAATGTGAAGGAATGAAAATGAAGAGTCTATTTATCATTCACCATGCCAATAAAATATTACTCTGTGTGTTTGGTCACCTTCATGACCACCTAGGTTACTTTTTTTTCAAACTTTTTTTTTCATTCGCACGCTCGCATCAGATTTGGGGTTCCCAGAGGATGTCATCCATATAATCAAATCAACATGGCCTAATCGTGTAAATTTTTATTTATACCAATAGACCAGTTAGATTTCATAATGAAGTGAACTTTTTTTTTTGTCCAAACTTCTTTTTTATTCGCACGCTCGCATCAGTTTTGGGGGTTCTCAGTGGATGTCATACCAAATCAACATGGCCTAACACACACCAGAAACAAAATTCGTATCCCCCGGGTCACAACGGACCAATGGAACAGTCCAGACCCATAGGTTTCATAATGAAGGCAACTTTTTTTATTCGCACGCTCGCATCAGTTTGGGGGGTTCCCAGGGGATGTCATCCATATAATCAAATCAACATGGCCTTACACACACTAGAAACAGAATTCGTATCCCCCGGGTCGCAACGGACCAATGGAATAGTCCACAGCTCACGTGACGACAAAGTGGACTTTAGAAATCAGGACAAAAGGAGAAGAAACATCAACAAAACGGTCGAGTGTTTCTATCTCGGAGTCTCTCCATCCGGGTTGGACGGTGTCAATCTTCATGTCTGCCCCTCCTCTGTCCTCATAACCGAGTCCTACTCCCCTTGTTGACAAGATGTTCCCGCCACGCGGCCGCAGGTAAACAAACAAACAACAACAACAAACAACTGAAGGTACGTGTTTATTCAGGCGCCATTTTGGCTTTGCTGGGACCGGGTTTGCGAAGTTTTCCCGCGGCCTGGACACCTAAAACAGAAGGGACGAGGGATTGGATCCTACAGGACTCGAGAGAAGGTTTCACCGAACGGTTGCTGGTTTTCGGCGGGGCTGACAGCGACATGGAGCCGAGAGGGACCGCTCAGCTTGCCTCGGTGTGCCCGTCGTGCATGGTGACTCTCCCGAACCATACCCAACTCCAACACCACTGGATTCAGTACCACTGCAAAATTCCCGACGAAGAAGCCGATTCAGACGAAGGTCTTCCCACAGTAAGCCATTTAACCCTTTCTATAATAAGTATAATTGTGTAGAATTGTTATTACAAAGTGTCAAATGGTTTACGTGTGCTCGTTTTGTTCAGCGTATTGTGTAAAAGGTGTTGTAGCAATCGACTCATAACACACGCCCCCACTTTCTTTGCAACGTGGGAACCCGGTGGTCGCGAGTTCTAATCCCAGTCCGCATTCCCTCTAGATTTAGTTTATAACCATTCCGTAGAAAACGTGTTAGTAAACGTCAAATCTTAAGCTAAAATTTTATGTTCTAAATGTTGAAATAAACACACATGCGATCGCGAAAAATGCTTGGGTGGGCGTTGCAAATTTAAGCCAATATAACCTCATAAAAATACTTTTCAGGTGAGTTTCTTGTATAATGTATGTGACACAGATCTCTTGTTTATGAATTTGCACCAGCTCTGTGCGAAGTTTCCCACGCGGTCATGTACTAGTGTAATTAGTGTGACACTGAAACTGACACTGTTTTGGAAATCAACAGGTGGTGTAAGGGTTTTCAAAGGAAAACAAGGATCAGTTTTAGGCCCAGTTTTATAGGATAACAGACACTTTGTGGGGTATTGGGTCTCACTTTTGTGGTGGGGCAACCAACTGGGAAGGTTTAGGGGGCATATCCCAGTT